GACCAGTAATATTTGGGGTCATTAGTTTTTGCCATGAATATTTTGTGGGTCAGAAGATAAAAAGTTTGGGAACCACTGGACTAAATGATAGACCCCCTCACACATTACTTGCTGGGTATTCAGATATTTCACTTTCCCTTTGGTTTCAGAAATAAAATTGTGTCCTGAGACTTTTAACTCAAACTGTAGCTGGTTATTTGAATAACAAAAGTGGATTTTATAAATCTTTACATAGACATGTGTTTTGTAATTCACAAGTATTTACATGAAATTATATGGTTATTTGCAAAAACAGCAGCAGCAGCTAGCAGTAGAACTTCATGTGCAGTTTCACAGTATTGAGAAAGTGACGGGGCAGCATAAATATTCATAAAATAAAATCTGCATGACATGCTACAGTATATTATTTTAATATTAAATCTGTTTTAAAGCTACAGTCTACTTCTAACTTGGCTGTGTTCAGACCAGCCATTAGCTTGTCGCAATCTAAAACAGGTAAGATATTAATTGTTCCTAATTTTACCGAACAACTCACTCCAAATGGTTGAATTGTTTCTTTACCAACAGATCATCAGTTCATTTGTGTTGAGTAACAATAAAAGGCAGTAAAATCTTTTTTTCACCCTCAATTCGACCCAGATCGTGTTCAAGTCATCAAGCAGCCCACATCAGTCTGGATCTCTGGGAGAACCTCTTCAGGGTCAACAAGGTGTGGAGAAAGAAACAGGAAAAGAACGTGGAGCTTACCCTCTCCTGGTATTTAATTTCGTAGTCGAGGATGACTCCGTTGGGTTTCTCAGGGGGCAGCCAGGACAAGCTGAGCGTGTCTGAGGTGGAGCGCATCAAGTGGACCGTGGGGACGGCTGAAGGTGCTGCAGGTGGACATCAGAGACCACTTTTAGTTACCCTGACCTGAACATTACTAACATGATGTCTTCCTCAGTAAACTAGCACCGTGTTAGAGCTTATAACCACAAGATAAAACAAAAATATTCACATTTTCAAGTAAAACAATCTCTGCTAACATGTTTATTGAAATATTTGAATTCTTCTCAGACTTTGCTGTWTTACATTAAGCATCCGTCAGACTAACATTCTGCAACTGTGCTGTTTATTTAATCAAATCATTCTGCACACAACGTGAAGCACAGCACTGAGCCTTAATGAAGACAGATTCAGTGATTCTAAATGTTTTAAATCAGTCTGGTCAGCTGCTGAACATGATTTACACCCAACTGAAAACAAGACGCTAACTTTATGATTAAATAAGGAAATGTTTTTAGATTAACATGCAACAGGAAGCTGGAAGTGTGCAGACAATTTAGCATTGGTGCAGTTTAACACAAATTCTACTGGATCAACTCCCAGAACTGAGTGTTACTTCAGAGATAAACAGAAAGCAGCATTTCTCTATCCCAGAGRTTCTTAACCTATGATGGGCTGCGGCGCAATTCTGGGCTGTGAGCGCCACCTTGAGTTTCCTCAAAAGAACAACAGTTTTTAACTTTGGGCCGCAGGACCTCATTGAKTTTGAATAAGGTGCAATACACTTCCTCACCACTAGTAGCAGTAGTGCGCCACTCAGTTGTTTAACAACTTTTTTAATATGTAGAAGAAGAAACTTAGAAACCTGTCGAGAATGGAAACCTGTTTTAAATGAAAAGTCGAAGCAAAAATGAAAGTAACTCGTCAAAAAACAGTTTGTCACTAATATGAAGAACAGCTTCTGTTTTTACCATGCAACATTTTAAACGTTCAAAACATTATCAAATACAGTTGCAGATACAACTATATTTTAATTTGCACTTTAATTTTTGTAGTTTACTTTTAAACATTTTGAATGTATTTTAAAGAAAATTTAAACTTGTCAAAAAGCTGTTGTTACTGTTATTGTTTGTCACTAATATGAAG